TCAAATCAAATCCTCCCTCTCTCGCTAGCGGCGGCGAGAAAGGGGAGGGGGAACCGCTTCCGCCATGGTCGGAGCTCGAGGGCGGAGGGGGGGTCCGTCGGTTACCGATCAGTTTAGACCCAAGCTTCCTCGTGGTTGCGGAGTCGAGGTGGTGTCAAGACCAGTCGAATAGTCGGAGTCTTGCCCGGTGCCGGGTTCGGAGTCGGCCGGATGGCGGGCAGCGGGGGCGCGGCCGCAGCGGCGCCGGACGCGAGGTTGGGCCGTCGCGCGCTTTGGGAGAGGCGGCGGCGCGGGTGGCAGTGGCTGGGGCGGCGGTGCGGGTGGGCGGGAGGCGGCCGCCGACGGTGGCGGTGGCGGCCGGGCCATCGGCGGCGGGCGGCGCGGCGGGTGGGGCGGCAGCGGGGCACCAGGAGATGGTGCCGTGGGCAGCGCTGCGGGGAAGCGAGGAAGCGGCGGAGGGAGGGAGGAGGGGGGGGCGGCTCGCCTGCCGCCCTCGAGCCGCGACAGCCGGTGCCGTGGCCGGCCCGCCTTCGAACGCGAAGGGGGGACGGCCTCATGCCGCCTCACCGCGAGAAGCGGCGGCCGGCCGCCACCTCAAAGGAGGCCTCTCGCGCTCGAAATACGTGCGAGGCACCTGCCGAAGGGGGTGGGGTGGTCGGGCGGTCTAGGGGAAGGCGTCTCCGGTGGGTGGGCGCCGCTCCTACAGCGCGCGGGGCGGGGAGGCCGACTGCGGCGGTGATACGGTCGCGCGCGCGGGGCGTGGAGGGCCAGGGAGGTGGAATCCGGGGCGGCGGAAACCTCCGATTTTTTGCAGTTCTAATTAGCCCGAGGCTGGCCGGAGAGGATTGACGTATCCGATTTTTGTTTTTCCGCTGGTCCAGCCGGCCAGCCGTGCCTACGGCGAGAAAAGGAGCGTCAGACCCGGTCCGATCTCGCGCTCCAGCGGGAACGCCGAGCGCCTCGGACGCCAAGCGGAAACGGCGTTCCGAGGCGGGGCGCGGTGGCGATCGCCGGTCGGCGCCTTCGCGGCCGGCCGGCCCGGTGGGTTGCCACGGCACATGCGCCGCGCGCCGTCGCCAGGCCCCGCCGCCGCCCCGCCAGAGCAGCGGCGAGATGGGAGGCGGTCGGCGGGTGACATCGGCTCTTGAGCGAGCTTTCAGCTCACTTTGACGACGCTAGGAAAATCAATTCGTGGAATCCAGTCCGAGATGCAGTGAGGCGGAGCCTACCCTGGGATGGGACCAAGGATGGGACGGCACGCCGCCACCACACAGGGATTTTAAGGAGAGGTGTGTGGTGCGCTAGCCGTCGCCCACCCTAGGGAGTCTGCCTCTTCCTATCTCTCTTCGCAGTCTCTCGCCGCTTCTCGCAATCTCGCGCTCCGCTACACTGGTCAAACTATTAGCCTCATAATGAGGAACTTGCTAATAGCGATTTCAAATAGTGCTACTATTAGCTCAGAGGAGCTAATAGCTGAGCTTCATAACGTCTGGAGCTATGAGAACACCACTATGAGAAGGGCTAATAGCGACTATTAGGGCGCTATTAGGGCACTATGAGAGCCTAATAGTGCCCTAATAGTGCCCTAATAGTGCGGTACCCACGCGACGCGCACTACGCGCGGCGCGGCAAGAGCGATGGCGCCGACTCTCTAGGAGACGGGCTTCCATGAGGCAACCACGGCGAACGAGAAGGTCACCGTGGAGTCGTTGAACTTGACCGTGGTGACGTCAGGCTTGGTGGTGCTCTTCATCACCTTGACGCACCAGCCGCCGGCGGAGACGCCGGGCCACAGCGAGGGCGGCGCGAGCAGGAAGCTGGTCGTGCGGTCCGCACGAGCGCGGGTGTTGCCTGCGCAACAGGGGCACGGGGACGAGCGTCAGCCCGGCAGCTTGCGGCGGCGCGCGCGCGCGGCGACGGTGCGCACGGCTTGGGAGAGCAGGGAGAGAGAGAGATAAGGCCGCTGCCGCCGCAGAACGCAGGATGTGGCTGCGTGCGGGGCGCGGCGGGCGCGGGCGCGCGCTCGGACCTTGCAATTTCAAACTGCGCACGCCCTGATCACGAACAGGATGCGGGCGGCGCAGAGATCTGCTGCCGCCCGGACCGCCGCCCGGGGATGACCCAGGACCTCGCCGGCGCTGCGCCGGCGAGGGGCCGAAGCCCGGCGGTCGATCGCGTCGGCAGCAGATGATCACGTTCTCCACACCCGCGCGCGCTGCGCGGTCGCCGTTCCGCCTCACATGCCTGCGGACAGCGCCGACGGGTGGTGAGGAGGGCGGAGAGCCGGCGGGCGCGGTGTGCGCGGTCGCCGCGCGCTGGTGGTGTGCGCGCGGTCGCCGCGCGCTGGTGGGCGACAGCTCACCGAGCCGAGCGGGGAGCGGAGCGAGCGAGGAGCACACTGGCCAGTGTGCTGTGCGCGACTCTCAAATCAGCCAAGTCAAACAAGAAAAACAGGACCTCAGTCCTCGTCGACAACAAACCCTGCAGTGGTCGGCATCAGCGCGCCGGGCGCCGCAGGTCGTGCTGCGCTTCGAAAAGCCGCCGGCCTTCCTCTCGCATCGTCTCGTCCAGCTGCGCCTTGACCGATGGCAGCGCAAGGCTTCTCGCCGGATCCGTCCGCGATCACCGTGGATGGACGCCAAGAAGACCAGCGCTGCGCCGCACGCCGCCAAACCACCACGCTGGCGCCAGCTCGCAGAGGGTTTCTCGCTGCACGCCAGATGGTCAGCGGGCGCCGATGGCGGCATGGGCGCGACGAGCTCCGTGGCCGGCATGTCGCTATGAGGCCCAGCTATTAGGCCGGGGCGCGCCGTGAAGCATGCGGCATGAATCGCGAAATCGCTAAGTGCGCATTATGAGGGTCCATTATTAGGACATCGGCTATTAGCACACCTAATAATTGCACTATTAGCCCCTCTGAGCTAATAGTAGCACTATTTGAAATCGCTATTAGCAAGTTCCTCATTATGAGGCTAATAGTTTGACCAGTGTAATTCTCCTCGTCCGCGCCAGTCCGCGCCCTTGTCGTGCCAGTGTGCTGTGCGAGAGGCTTGCGCTTAAGAATTCTCCTCGGCCTCTGCACCGGGATCCGCCTCCGACCTTCGCCCGCGTGCCTTCCTGCCCGAGGACCCTGCTGGCTCCTCCGCTTGTGGGCCTGCAGCCCTCTGGGTCCTGTCTGTTCCATGGGCATCATGATGACCCTTCTATCGGCAGCCGGCTCGCCCTACCTCCGACTACGGCCAACCTCACGGGGCGCGTGGGCGGTCGAGACCGCAGTCGTCTCGTGCGCCCTCCGCGACCGCGCCTCCGGCTCACGCCTGACAGTCGACCTCTTCTCGACTGTCCACCTTGCATCGGGCGAGTACTACGCGGGCATTAAGGCCGCTGCCCTGCCCCTTTCGCCGCGCGAGCAACTGGAGGCGCCCTCAAACCCGTTCGCAACCCTACGTCGGCAGGACGCCTGCACCGCACGGTACGAGCGCGTGCTCTTTGAGATGATCGCAGACGGAAGCTGCTTCGAACGTGGCGCCGACGGCGCTCGCCGGCTCGTGCGGCCGCTGCAGGCGAGCGATCAGCAGCGAGTGCTCGCCGCTCAGTACGGCCTCACCGCTCAGATGGACGCGCTCGATCTCTGCGGCGACCCGTTTGTGCACTCGGACATGTTGAGCGCTGAACTGGGCGAGGCGGCCTCCTCGCTCGCCACGGGAGGGCCGCTGCTCGACCGAGCGGCCGAGGCGTTGGGTGGGCTTGTGCGCGGCGCATCTGCACCCGGGACGGGCGCCGCGGCTCGGGTCCCTCTTCGGCTGGCGGCGTGGGCGCTGCCGGCGCCTGAGCCACTCCCTGTCCCGGCGAGATGGAAAAGAGCATCTCGGACTGCTGCTGAGCCCTCGCGCGTAGGCGCCCGAGCTGCTGCTCCTCCTCGATGACTGGATAGCCTCGGGCGGCGCGTCGCCTGCCCCGGCGTTGCGGCCGATTGCGCGCGCGGCCCTACGCGGCGACTTCGCTGCGGCGCGATGGCCTCTCAACGTCTCTCTTCTTCTCCCCTCTTCCCCTGTCCTCGTTCTCTCCTCCCTCCCCCCTCCTCCCTCGCCCCTCCTCCCTCCTCCCTCTTCCCTCACCTCTCCTTCGTCTCCCCTGGCGCCCAGGCCCGCTCTCTCGCACTCGCGCAAACGCTCGCCCAGGGCGACCGGTGAGCGGGACACTTCCTCAAGCCGCTTCCTCACCTTCCCTTGCCGCGCCCCGCCCGCCGTGGCCCAGCCTCGCAACCTTCCGATCGACCCCTCCGGAGGCCCAGCCTCGCAACCTTCCGATCGACCCCTCCGGAGGCCCAGCCTCGCAACCTTCCGATCGACCCCTCCGGAGGCCCCCGAGACGAGAGCGCCCCACGTGCTCCACAACACCCCCGCAGGTCTCAGGGGCGGACTGTGGCCGGGGAGATGGTGCGGCAGCGCAACGCGCGCGCCGTGGAGGAGGTGGGTCGCGCGGCGGCGGCTGGGTGTCGCCGCAAAACACCCGCTGCGACGGTCGAGAGGTGTGTCGAGGACGCGCCCGTGACGCGTCCCGTAGGTGCAGCCGCGTGGCGCTGCTCTTTGGCGTTCGTTACGCGCGACAGGCGCGGCCGTCAGACACGCCGCGGACGCGTCGCAGACGTCGTTTCTATAGGCGCGCTGCACATGCGCGACATGCGGCAGCTGCTCGCTCGCCGCTTCGATCTCGAGGCGGCCGCGTGGAAGAGGGGAGAACACGCATCCCCCCCGGGGAGGAGCTTTCGGAACCGCTCGGAGCCGCCCCTGTAGGCAGCATCGATCTCCGAGTGGCGCACCGCGTGGCTCATCGGCTCGACCACTTCGGCCGAGGTCACGCCGGGTGGCGGCGGCGGCGGCGGGACGGCGGCGGACGGGGTTGTTTTGCTGTTCGCCGGCGCAACAACGCTCGCGTTCGACGCCGCCGATTGGTTCGATGCGCTCGGCGCGGGTTTCGGGGGGGTCGAGGTTGCTGCACCACACACCGCTGCCTATCCCACGTTCGGTTCCTATAGATCGGGACTCGAGCCCGACGCTTCCCACCCTCTGCTTCCCTATCGACCCGCTGTTTCCTCCTCCGCCGACCTCACCGCCCGGTGTTGTCGCAGCACCGCCGTGTTGCCGCAGGCGGCGGTCGGCGGCGCGCTCCTCTACTTTCTGCGGCACGCGGCGGTCTACGCGACCCTGTCGGCGTACGCGTTTGATTGGGACCGGCGCTGGTACGTGGAGCAGGGCTCTGGAGGGGGGGGCTCTCAGCAGGAAGGCGGCGCGTTGGACGCGCCCGCCGACGCGCTTATCCGGGCGGATTCGGCTCTACTACGCGCGGGGCGCGAGCCGGAGGGGCCGGCGGGGCAGGGCAGTGCGCGCGCCTCTTCGGCGAGCTCTTCGGTCGGCCCCTCGAGCGGCGGCTGGCGACGCGGCAGCCGTGGCTTCCGGGAGAGAGTGGCGGCGCGGGTCAGACAACCGGTCGAGAGCAGCAAGAGAGAGCGAGGGAAGGGAGAACCACAGGGCAGTTGACCGGGGGGAGACACGCATGCGTGCGTGGGTAGTCTCCCCCCATCCCCAGGGCCTCCATATAGGGGATATGGGCACGCACCTCAACCTCTCGTAGAGATCAGCGCGCAGCGCCTCGGGAGGTTATGGTCTTCTTAAAGTTTTCAGGACGAGAGGCGAGACCGCAAACACGGACCCCCCGAAAGCCCAAACCAAAAAACGAACGGAGCGATGCATTTACGATTTACCCCAATCGCCCTTCCGTTACGCATTACCGTAGCCTCAAGCCTGTGCAGGGGGCCATCCTGCTGGTCCGTCTGCAGATGATATGCGCATCTTGAGATAGAGGGAGAGGACCGTGAGTTGAGGAAATCGAGGGACGCGACCCACTTCGCCACAGACGGTCCCGCGCCTCGCCGCTATGACCGCTGCACGGCCCATACCATCCGCTGTGCAGCGGTCTTTGTCCGGAGTGAAAAGTCCAACGCGCTCGTCGGTGACGGTGTCCCTCGATTTCGCCGCGCTCCGGCACCGCTCCGGGACGCACGCCGGCGAAGCACCATCAAGCTGCTGTACGGCCCCGGAATCGCCTCCCCTCGCTTAGCTAGACTGAGAGTTATTGTGCACATGGTTAGTCTCTGCAATATACTCACTGACACCCCCCCTCCCAGAGCTCGTCCCGGTCCGCCACGGCCATCCTCGGCCTCCGGAGGGCCCCCGGCCGCGGCGCGGTGCGGCGGCGTCACAAATCCGACGGCAGAGCACCGGGACGCGGTCGGGCGATCTGAGGTCCAGTGAGGCGTATGCATTGCCCATCCAGGGCTATCACATGGACCTATCAACAGGCGCCTGCGGCGGAGCAGGAGGGCCCAGCGCACAACCCCTGGTCAACTCAGGGTCCACACCCCGTAATATGCATCCAAGATGCACCCCGCTACTTACGTACTTAGGATGCACGCTGATCCCTGATCGGTGTCTCCGCGACGCTCTGCGGCGGTCGCCCGTCGCCGAGCCCATCTCTAGATGGTTTGTATCAACTATCTAAGATGCCTGAATAGTTGATCTGAAGATGCTTCGCATCCCCCAAGATGCTTGGCATTTAATGATTAAATACAAATTAAAGCATGAAGACTTGAGCGGCCTGTGAGCCCTTGGATCAAGGTGGAGTGGAGACTATGAATCTATGCTTGAGCACTTGAGCACTGGATAGGGCCGATTCCGCATGGTACGGGACCCCTCGATCGTCTCGCCCTCCCTCACTGGAGTGTTCATTGGGGGGGGTCATAACAAACACGGTACAGGATCGAGGTGCACGCTGCCGAAGCAGTGTCGTCCCCCCTCTCCATCATCTCACTGTGAGACGTCGGCGGCGGTGGCGGTGTGACCGATCGAGCTACAAGAGGAGCTTGTTCAGCAGGATCCGGGATAGTCTGATGCACTACCTCACTGGGCCTGAGACCACCGAGACAACACCCGTCACCGTCTCGGATTTGTGTAGAGTAACCGTCTCGGATTTGTGTAGAAGCCGGAGACTGCAATTCCAAGGCTGGTGACGGCGCTCGAGTAGCCACCGTGAAGGTGCGCTCGCGCCCAGATGGCGAAGAAGATCTGGGGCCGGCCAGCAGCGAGCTCAGCACCCGGATCGGATAGCTTGTTGAAGTGGACAAGCGGGGCGTTGGCCGAGAAGCCGGTCGCGGAATCGCCCTCCTTAGAGAAGACAGCGATATCGACGCTTCCGAGGCGCCCGCAGCGGATGCGGTCCACATTGCGAAGCTGCCTCTCGTCCCACCGCTTGTCCGAGCTGCCAGCATGGTGCAACAGCTCCAAACGGCGAAGGCATGCACGGCGAAGCGACCGAATGCTGGCAACCAACTGGTCGTCGACCGGCATACTCGAGGCTAGGTGTGTGATGCTCTCTCTACGCGCAATAGGAGCCGCTGCACGTCAGAAGGCAGCGCACCGGTTCCCGTCGTCTCGATCGCCTCGACAGTGGCGGCGATGTTGGAGGGCGATCCGTCAGACTCGAGCGCAGTAGCGAGCGAGTTGACGAGCGCCTTGGCGTTGGGGTCGAGCTGTGACACGGCGGCGAGGATCGCCTGGTCCGAGTCCTCCTCGAGCTCCGTCTTAGTGTTCGCGCCAGCGCTCCGGACGATGATATGTGGCGCCGAGGCTGCGGGCGCGACGCCATGCTGGCTGAGCCCTAGAGTTCTTCTTGGCCTGCTAGCACTTTATGATGAAGATGGCTGCCGTGCTGGCGTCCATGCATCGGTGGGCCGCCGGCGAGCGCCGAGAGACCAGCCTCCGGAAGCGACGCCAGCCCGGAGGACATGAAGTCGCGAAGCATCTGCTTGAAGACCGCCTGCCTCGGCAACTCGCTGCTGCGCAGCATCGGTGCAGATAAACGGGATAGTCTTCTCCATGAACTCATCAAACTGCCCGCCGGCGTCGACGCGGCGGACGAGCGCCTCGTAGGCGGTAGTGGGCGCCGCGGGCGACGGCGCGCTCGCTTTGAAGGCCTGGCCGAACCGCCCGAGGAAGGCCGTCGCGCTTCGGCGAGGGTCAGCTGACCTTTTGCTGAGATCTCACCACGGAGAGACGTGTGGGCGGCCTCGCCGGCGGCCGCCTCCAGCGCCACTGCGAAGCTCTGAATCCGGACAGCCTCCGGCAGCATGGAAGTGCCGAGGGCCGGCATCTTGTCGCAAAGGCCTAGCACTTCGGCCGCCTCGACGTTACCAGCGGCCACTGACCCAGAGGCAGGCAGCTTGCGAAACATCTCGAGAGCAAACGGGGCTCCGAGAATCGAGACCGGCCTTGGCGCGGCAGGTCCGGCACCGCCCGTGTTGGGCGGGTCGGTCTGCGGCCGAGGAGCTACGGCCGCCTGCTCGAAGGCAGTCTTCCATGCGTCTTCAGTGGCGGGTTTGTGCCTAATAACGGCAGTATTGGAGAAACCGGCGCGGAACCCAGCGACGCGTGCCGGTGAGGCCGATTTTCTTAAACGGACTTAAAAGAGGGACCCCCCGTGCCTGCAATCTCTTAAATGACAATTTGAGCGGCCCCCAAACCTCCTCATTTCTTAAAAGGTCTTAAAAAATCCGGCCCTCAGAACCCTAGGGGTACCCTAAGGATTTGCTTGCTGGTAGGGAGCTAGGACGGGGGATTTGCTTGCTTGCTTGCGGCAAGCGCCAAGCCGGAGCTGGATCCCTACCTTCTCCGGGGAAAGTTATTTAGCGACATGCCGGTTTCGGACATCGGCGAACGATCGGAAGGGTGCCGCCTGCACACAAATGGAGTCCAGCGATGTGGGACCTCAGTCCCAGAAGCTTGGAGCTTCAGGCCGCGACCACGTGGCTAGGTGGACACTAAAGTGCCAATTTGGCGCCAAATCTTGGCGGGAAATGACACGTGGCTTGGCGGGAGTGTGGTGTGGCTGCGTTGCTCGCCAGCGCTGCTGTTGAGCGCCAGCTGCTGCTCCCTTCAGCCAGACGGCCGGGCCTGCGCAGCACGACCGCCAGCCTTCCTCCTGCACCACAGGAGCGCGCCAAGGCGCGCGTCTGGGCAAGCAGTGCGTCTCGTCGCGATGCGAGAGTCGACGCTGTGACGCCGGCTAGAATGACAGTGGCAGCATTCGAGTACGCGTCGAGCTGTGCGTACCAGCACTTGTATGCGAGCTAATTGTGTCCCTGAGCTGCTGTGGGGTGCGTGGGCTCAGCTGCGGAGCACGTACTGGGCGGTGGTAGGGGGGGGCGGCGGCGGCGAGGGTGGCGGCGACGGAGGCGGCAGCGGCGGCGGGTGGGAGGGCGGCGGGTGTCTCTAAATAACTTTCCCCGGAGAAGGTAGTCGACTAATTAACGTTTCCGCCTCGGAAAAATACTTCTACTACGAAAAAAAAGCGCGCAGACACACCGTCGAAAAGGGCTCGGCGAGATCTATCGATTGGCACTCTTTCCAAAAATCGACTCGATTTCCTCCCCCCCCCGGACCTCCCCTGCGCGCCGCAGGCGAAGCGAAATTCGGCTCCCTGCGTCGGTCTGCGCTCAATCTGGACTTGATCTGGGGCACCTTGTATACAAGCCCAAGCATAGGTGAGGCTTAGGGCGCTAGGATCGGTCGCCAGGACGCGACAGAGACCGGCACCGGTCCGCATCATCCTGCCAGCCCGCATCAGCGCGCGCAGATCGGGGGGGATGGCTTGCGCGCAGCCAGAGCTGCGAACGCAGGCGGCTGCGGCTGCAGATTGAGAAAGCCGTCTCGAGCGGCCCGAGTCAGATCACCTGCGGCGCGCGCCAGCGGAATGCGAGGAAGAATGTCGGCTCTCGTGCAACCGCGGCCCGCAGCATGCGTGCACACCTCTGAACCGAGCAACGGCTCGAGGCGTTGCCTGGCGGCCGCAGTTTTGTTGGCTTGGCCAGATCCGACGACGGTGGCGTCGCCTCCGGCTCGAGCAGCGCCACCCGCGCCTCATCCGTCGGGGCGGCGAGAGCGGATGCGGAGGATGAGGCGGAGGTGAGAGGCGCAGCAGGAGAGGCGAAGAGTCAGATGTGGTGGCGCCGGCCGAGGAAAAGCGCAGCGCGTCGCTGATGAAAAGCGCTGACGCGTCAGCTGCTGAGCTTCCTGCTCGTCGGAGAACTCGTCGGCTTCAGCTCCGGCGCTCTGAACGCGGCAGAGATGCATCTCCCGCGCGACGCAGCGAGAGCGGGCGCACCGAGGACCAAACGCACCTACGAACGCATAGACACGGCCGGAGACGGGTCAGTCGTAGGCTACTCATGTGTGTTGATGGTTCGATCCTCCCCAGAGTCGAACTGGCAGCCACTCGCACCAAGGAGGCGAGGTGTGGCTACGTGACCCAGAAAAGGCCAGAGTCAGGAGCAACCCTCGAGTCGGTCGCTCATATACTCAACACGCCCCCACGACACAGCACGAGGTTGCTGATGTATATCCGATACCGCCGTGTTTCGAGGTAGGGCAGAGGTTCCGGGACGCGAGTTCCCCCGGGTTACCTTGGGCACTATTTTCGATCTTTTTCGTAGCTCACACACGAAGGGACTCAAATCTTCGCAGACCGCTGTCGACCTGGGAGATCTCACCGGAGGTACCATGTAGTGAGCTACGAGCTGTACACGGAGCGAGGGTCTGTACCGAGGCGTACAGGAACGGTACAAGCAAGACTACATCGCCAAGCCGCGGTTGAGCGGACGTCCGACAAACAGAGCAATAAGCAAGCCGGCCTGACACGTCCCGCACATGTCCCTGTTCACACAGACATCTCGCTAGGATAGAGACGTCTCTCCCTCTCTCTCTCTCTATCTATTCATGAGGAGGGCGTTCACACTCCCAACACTCCCCCATTGTCTGCGCGGTCTTCAGATGCGGCGGACAACACAGCGGAGTGTGAAGCGATTAATCGTCACGCTGATCAGAGGCGCGAGCTAGAGTAGTGAACGTGGCATGTGACCTTCCGTCTCCCGGGCCAAGGTAGTAGACTATCTGAGCGGTCGACTGGATGTCTTCAACATGGGTAGTAGAGCTTGGTCAGCCGCGCGCGGCGATCCGAGCTGAGCGCCGCGGGGCGAGGGGTTGAGCGGGCGCAGCTTGCGCGGCGGGCGGGGCGACGGGCGCGCCCCTTGGCGCCGCTGGTGCGGCGGGAGGCTCGACGCGGACGATCGCCTCGGGGACTTGAGGGCGTTCTTGTTCGACGGCGCCGCGGGTCTTGAAGGGCTGCCAGGCGCCGCCGAGGGTGGTGAAGGAGAACTCGTCGAAGATGACGTCGGCGGTGGAGATGATCCGCCGGACGGCGGGGATGTAGACGAGGTATTTGGAGCGCCGCGGGTCGTGGCCGAGGTTGATGCCCTTGAGACGAGTGGGGGTGAGGTCGTGCGCGCGGAGCGACTCGGGGAGGACGCAGGAGCAGTCGCAGAGCATCACCTTGAAGTTCTCGAGGGCGTAGTTGCGAGGGTGGCCGATGGCGACCTCGATAGGCGAGACCCACCGTGGCTCAGCGCTGGAGCCTCTGTTCGTCTGCAGGAGGTTGTGGACGCGGGCGAACTGGCTGAACAGGTAGGGCCAGAACTGAATGTGCTCCCGATCTCCCCCAGCGTGGACGAGAGCGGTGCGCGTGCAGTGGAGGAGGGTCCCCCAGCAGCGCTCGGCGAGGGCGTTCCCCTCGTGGATGTCGGGTGAGGAGAAGAAGCGCTGGATGAAGAGGGTGATGCAGAACTCGTCGGTGAGCTCGGAGGTGAAATAACTGGCGTTGTCGGTCAACCACTCGTCGATCACGCCGGGGTTGCGCGTGTCGGTGAGGAGGTGAGCGTAGTCGCGGAGAAAGGCGCGGACGGCGCTGACGATCTCGGGGGAGCTGCCGTTCTCGAGGAAGTAGACGGCGATGACCCCGGAGAAGTAATCGACGAAGTTTATGGCGAACTTGAAACTTGTGGATGCTGAACGGCAGAAGCTTGAAGGGGCCGCAGAGATCGGACGCGACTCGCTCGCCGAAGTGGGTGTAGACTCGGCGATTGGTCGGCTGACTCGGGTGGCCTTTGCGGCGGCGATTGAGGCGACATGCAGCGCACTCACAGCGGTCGCTGCCGGGGCGGAAAACGTAGCCCCTGTAGCGGAGTGGCCCGATGATCTTGCTCCTGCCAAAGTGGCCGAGGCGGGCGTGCCACAGGCCGTAGTCGGCATGGTCGGACGGGCGCGCAGGGAGCTTGTGGCGCTCCTCCGGACCGAGGAGGGTGGTGTCGAGGGCGTCGAAGACGGAGCCGCAAACGGGGTTGCTGGAGGCGTCGTCGGTGTCGGCGGCGAAGGCATCGGATATGACGGGCTCGGGCGTAGTCGTCGAGTAGACGAGTAGGGCTCGTCGGATGCCGCGCCACAGGCGGCGGGCGGCGGGAAGAGCGAAAGCGAAGAGGCGAAAGGCAGAAGAGAGCGAAATACTGCAAAGGCGCGTCGCCACATCGCACCAATGTCCCAGTCCCCCACGATGTGGCAGTCGCCGCACTCCTGGAAGAAGAGTGCCACCGTTGTCATATTCCAGCGGCGCAAAGCTCTGGTCGCAGAATGTTGCCATCGTCCAGAGCGGCGGCGGCGACGGAGTTGATGGTGGTGAGAGCCGGGGTCCAAACTGCTCCAGAGGAGGCAGCTGGACGGGCTCGAGGGCTGGCGGCGGCGGCGACAGAGGCAGCGGCGGTGATGGTGGCTCAACGGAGATGAGAGCGAGCTGGTAAAGTGAAGAAGGAGAGAAGATCCGGGCCCACGAAGCCGAGATGCTCGTGGTGGGAACCGAAGAACAGACGTCAGAGATTATCCGGATGTCGCCCAGCTCGGCCGATCTGCCGAGTCGGGTCGCGGCCGAGTTGCCGCTTGCTGGGGCTCCAACCCAGCTCCACGTCGAGCCCCAGGCTCGCACGGCACCAGCCTTCGTATCGAGCGAAGACGGGAAAGACTGTGCCGGACAGGCATCAGTCCGGTTTACACGCTGCACGGCCGAGTTGCCAAGCAGGCTCCTGGCCGAGAGGTGCCAAGAAGACTTGTGAGCAGGGACTCCGACCCTGACTGCCACCACGACACCCCGCAGGTGTCCATGGTGCCGGCTGCCGTATCGAGCGCTAGCCAGACTAAGCTGTGCGGTCGCACCGCACCAGCACCACTCATGACGACCAAGTTGCCGTCGATCTCATCGCTCCGCGATCTCGCCGGAGGAACCCCATGTCGGACATGGTACCTCCGGTGAGATAGTGGCTGCCAGTTCGAGACTGGGGCCGATCGAACTTGAGTTGTTCGGAGGAGGAATCCGGCCAGCACGGGTACAAAGAGGGGTACCCGGAGAATCCCCAGCTGCGGAAACGTAGTGTCGCTCAAGAGGTGCGATACTGCGGGGGAGTGTAAGGTGCCTATATGGGCTTCCAGTATCGGACCTTCAAGACATGCGCTTTTGGCCGGTGGCCTCCTCGGACAATGTGTCCTCGATGAATGGGAGTGGTCTGGGCGCAAACGATCGGTGTAAATGGAGCTAAAGCAGCGCGCGTATCCCGTCGTCACGCTCGACTCCGCGGCGCTCCAGGCAGGGCCGAATCCGACTCCGCGGCGCTCCAGGGCCGGATCGCGGTCGAATCTGGCGATTCGACACCGGTCGCTGGCTGCTCCGGACCGGTCCCGATGGTGTGGGCACCGCGAGCGGCACGCGGGACGCGGCGGTCTCGCGCGGGCCGTGTATACGCGGTGCGCTCACCAGTGTGAACCCCATCCCCAGGGCCTCCAGGGCTCGCACCTCAACCTCTCACAGACCAGCGCACAGCGCCATGACGTACTTGGAGCACTTGGAGTGCAGAGAGTAACCGCACATGACAAGGCTGTGTGAAAGATCGCGGTGCACCAATCCTGTCTAGATAGGAATGCGTGTCCAACGCCTCGCGCGTCGGCTCTCCACGGCCAGCGTGCCACGCGATCGCAGCTTCAACGGCCTGCACGCGGCGTCCAGCAGCCTGCTCGACGACGCCGACCTTTACGGTACGCTTCGTGAGAAGCACTTCCGCCTGCCGGCCGCGACGGTGCGCCACTTGTACGCCGACGCCGCATGGCGCACGCGTCGAGCCGCGCTCGCGGGGCTGAGCGACGAGCAGCTGCACGGGCGCTACGAGGCCTCGGTCAACCCTATCGTGTGGGCGCTGGGGCACGTCTCGCACTTCTACGAGGCGATGGCGCTGCGCCTCTTGGCGCCTGACGAGCCGCCGCTGCACGGCCCGGGCACGCTGCTCGCGGGCTGGGACGTCGAGGGTGCCTTCGACTCGTTTCGCGCCAACCACGCCGACCGGTGGGAGGGCGACGGCCTTGCGGAGGTGAGCCCCGCGGGGCGCTACCCCTCGCCGCGCTCGGCGATGCTTTACGGCTACCGTGACCGTGTGGCGGCGCGGCTTCTGGCGCAGCTGCCCGAGGCGGACGACGCGCTGCTCGGCGCGGCGGAGACCTACCTGCACGTCTACGCTGTCGTTCACGAGCACTGGCACATCGAAGACTGGCACCAAACGCGCCAGACTCTCGGCCTGCCGCCGCCGCCGCCGCCGAGCGCCGACGAGCCGCTGGTCCTTGACGTGCGAGGCGGCCGGTTCGCGCCGACGGCCGCGACGCTCCAAGCGCCCGACGCGTGCGCCGACGGCGGGCCGCTGCGCGGCGAAGCGCGCGTGCCCGGCGGCGAGTATGTGCTCGGCGGGTGCGCGGCGCAGCAGCCCTTTGTTCTCGACTCGGAGCGCGGCGCACACGCCGTGCGCGTGCAGCCGTACGCCATCGCCCTCGCGCCGGTGACCAACGAGCAGATGCTCAGCTTCGTCCTCGACGGCGGCTACCGCCGAAGGGAGCTGTGGTGCCACGAGGGCTGGCGGTGGCTGATGCGCGGCGGCGCGGCGGCCACGGGCCAGCACGAGGCTGGCACCGGCGAGCGGCGGGTGGCGCCGCGGTACTGGCGGCGCGTCGCCGCCGCCGCCGGGAGCGCGAGCGCGAGCTCCGTGGTGGACGGCGCGCTCGACGGGTGGGTGACGCGCTGCTTTGACGACGATGCCGCGCCGCTCGCGCGCCACGCGCCGGTCGTGCACGTGTCCTGGTACGAGGCCAACGCCTACTGCCGTTGGGCGGGGAGGCGGCTGCCCACCGAGGCCGAGTGGGAGGTGGCCGCGATCGCGCAGCCCGTCGAGGGCGAGGGCGAGGGCGACGGTGAAGGCAAAGCCGAAGCCGAAGGCGGCGGTGGTGGTGGCGGTGCACTCGGTGGCGGTGGGCGGCGGCTGCCGCGTGTCGAGCGGCACGCCGAGCCATGGCCTCGCGCGGCGGCGGGCGGCGAGCTGCTCCGCCTGTCGCCCGCGAAGCGCACCTTCCCGTGGGGCGAGGCGCCGCCCACGCCCGAGCGCGCCAACCTCGACGGGCTGCGCCCGTGCGGCTACCTGCCTGTTGACGCGATGCCGGGGGCCGACTCGGCCTTTGGCTGCCGGCAGATGGTGGGCAACGTGTGGGAGTGGACCGCCACCGCCTTCTATCCCTTCCCCGGCTTTGTCCCCGACTTTCCGTACCGCGAGAACTCGGCGCCGTGGTTTGGCTACCGCAAGGTCGTCAAGGGCGGCAGCTGGGCCACCTCGGCGCTGGTGGGCGCGCGCGGCGGGTACCGCAACCACTTCTGGCCAAACATGGACGAAACCTTTACCGGCTTCCGCACGGCGCGCGACCTCTAGCTAGGAATTCACCTAGTACTGCTGGGGTGCTGCGGCGTGTGACCGTGCGGTGGTGTTGTACACGCTGAGTTGTGTGTATTTCACGCCGAGAGTGTTGTCGGTTGTCGCGAAAACGAAACAGGAAAAAAGAATAGAAAATTCAAGCAGATAAAAAAGAAACTGCGGTGGCCGGAGGGGACTAGAGCCGTAGGGCGGTGGGGCGGCTGGAGGCGAGAGGGCGAGAGCGGCGGCATGCTGGAGGGCGCGGCGGCACCGGGGCGGGAGGCGGAGGCGAGGGCGGCGGCGAGGGCGCGGCGGGGCGGCGGCGTGCCGCTTTTATTGATGTTCATTGACATTGTTCTCGACGACGACGTAGCACACAGAGATCTCGACACTCGAGACTCTGTCGCCCGTCAAAGAACCAAACTTTTGTCCGCTCCGCCCCCCGCCCCCCCCCCGGGTCTCCGCTTTTTGGCGTTGGGGCTCGCGGGGTCGCGCTCGGTTCAGGGGAGACTTGCGCACCCGCTAACTTTAAGTGAGTCTATCGGTAAGCGCGGGTTAGCGCGGGTTCCACCGAGTTTTAAGCCACACTAGCCCAGCACGGGTCAGCACGGGTCAGCACGGGTTAGTTACCATAACCCGGCACTAAAACCCGCCACTAACCCGGCCTATCCGGTATGCCGCGTTACCCGTGGGGGTTTGTCTCGGGTTAGTCTCGGGTTAGCAGTTAGGGATCCGCCGGCGTCGGCAGCCACGATCATGGCCGTGACGGCCTCGCCCGCCATATCGATTCTCGGCCGATCCGCGATCGATCGCGCGTCCCAAAGTCGCCAAAAGTGGCGGCGAGTCGCAATCACCCGCCCCCGCCGCCCCTCCCGGCGGTCCCGCAGCTCGCGCGCATCTCCTCTTAACCCACCTGTAACATCACAATACTGTCCCGTTTTGCTGTTCACAGCTAGGGACGGCCTCTGCGGCAAAGTCAAACCACCCCACCGCCCACCTCCCACCACAGGCAAACCTTCGGCTCCCGCTCAGAGGCTCGCCGCGCCCGTGCGGCGCGCCGAGGCGGCGCCGAGGCCGGCGCCTTGCACCCGGCCCGCGGCCGGCACCGCCTCGCCCCACAACTGACCGCCCTGCGGCCCCTGCGCAGCGTACCACAGCGTCGCTCAAAAAGCGACGCCGGGTGTGGGCTGCTCCCTTGACCCGTCACCCGCCGCGCCCTCGCCCGGCCGCCTCACCGCCCACGGAGGCTGCTCGCCGCCGCCGCCGCGCGTCCCGCGCCGCCACGCATGCCCCTTGCCCTGACGCGCGCGCTCTGCAGCGGCGCAGAGCGCGCGTCCCTGGCACAGACGGAGCAGCGGCCGCGCCAGCGGTCGCTGCTCCGCCCCCCCGTCGCGCGCGCCGCGCGCGCGCTGCCGCCGCCGCCGCCGCCGCCGCCCCCTCCTCGCCGTCTTCCCCACCCTACCCTCTGTTGCGCGCGCCGCGCGCGCGCCGCCGCGCTGCGCGCCCCCGCCCCCGCCCCCGCCCCCGCCCCGGCTCCCAAGCGCCCCTTCCCCGGTAGGTGTGCGTAGAAAGTAGAACCAATCGAGAGGTGGCAGAAGCCGCCGTGTGTGACACATATTGCGGCACGTGAGAGTGAGACAGAGCCCCGGCAGCGGCCAGCGCGCGCGCGCAGCGGCCAGCGCAACAGGCGTTTCAAACAGCAAACGGGACGGCCTGCGCAGCCTCTAACTATAAGGGATCCCTGCCCCTAAACGGCGTTTCTGTCAGTACTGCAGGAAGTCTTCTTATTTTATTCCTTTGCAGGACAGCTTGTTGGAGAGTGTGAACTCAAACCTACTTCCTGACCGTAGCCTGACCGTCCTTGTGTAACCGTGTCTCATGTTTGGTTTGTCCTGCCGCGCACATTGTCAGCTGTTGGGTTTCTCCTGCCGCGCACATTGTCATCGACTTGTATCCGACTTGGTGGCTGTGGTGATGTAGCTAGCGATGGTGTGGGTCTCTAGTGACCTATACAGCTCCTCCGTGTTCCGTCTCCTGACATGGTACCGACCGGTGAGTGCACGGAGTGAGCAGTGCGGCACTGAGGCCGACATGAGAGCTGGTGCGGCACACAAGCGAGATGTGTTGCCGCACAGCATTTCCGGCTTACGCTCGATACGTTGGCTGGCACCATGGGCACCTGCGCGAGCCGTGGTGATTGGCTGGGCACAGAGGCTCGGCGCACGGTGGCACAGCGGCCGCCAACTGCTCGGCTCGGAGGCTGAGCAGAATGAGTACAACCGCAACATCAACTTGGGTGCTTGCGGATCTTCTGCGACAGAGCGCATCTCCGCCAGCACTGCGGCTGTGTGGACACGAGTATCCCCTCTTGCTTCTCCTTACCGGTCCGTTCTCCTCGCCTACGGACCACCATCGCAGCTGCTGCCTCCGCTACCAGCTCTCGGGCTGCTGCAACGGCAGTTACCGCAAAGATCTCGCACCGAATGTGGACCCTGCCTTTCGCCGCCGCTACTTCCGACGTCGCCGCTCGACACGACCGGAGCTGTACGCGATGAACACGCGACGATCGACACGCCCTCTCGACGATCGACACGCCCTCTCTGCCTTGTGTGGCGATTACCACGTCGTGGGGGAGTGTTGGGCATCTGTTCGACGTGGCAATGCCACTCTACCTCATTGCTGTCTCTTCCTCGTCTCGCCTCCTCGCGCTAGCCCGTCCCGCTGTCCAACGCCTCTGGCAAGAAGTCCAATGCGCCTCTACGAGCGTCTCTGCCGTCTGGACGTCTGAGACTGAGCCTGCCATCTCCGACGTCGGCGGCCCGTGGCGCAACATCAACGTTCGGGGCATTGAAGATCGTCCTCACGTTCCTGATGCGCTCATCCGCGTCAACGCGGCGAGGCCTCCCAACGGCCCAATCGCCGCGCCGCAAGGGGGCGCCCCCGCTGCCGCTCCCGCGCCCGCCGCGCCTGCCGCGCCCGCTCAAGCCGCCGCCCCGCGACGCTCAGCCCGGATTGCAGCTCGCGGCGCGCCATGACCGAGCTCCACAACGAGCTCCTGTTCATTATCTCCCCTTTCTCTCTCTCCGCCCACTCGGCCGCGCTTTGACCCCTTCACTGGATCATCTTAGCGCGCAAGTCTTGCCAACAAGCAAGACCATCCTTCGCGAAGACGCTTAGCCAAGGTTGGACGCTTAGCCAGCCCCGCGAGACGCCGGCGGGTAACCGGCATACCTACGCTCAGACACATTCACACTCTGCTGTTGTTGTCTGCCGCATCCTCACATTCATGAAGACTGCGGAGACAATGGGGGAGTGTTGGAGAGTGTGAACTCAAACCTACTTCCTGACCGTAGCCTGACCGTCCTTGTGTAACCGTGTCTCATGTTTGGTTTGTCCTGCCGCGCACATTGTCATGCTGTTGGGTTCCTCCTGCCGCGCACATTGTCATCGACTTGTATCCGACTTGGTGGCTGTGGTGATGTAGCTAGCGATGGTGTGGGTCTCTAGTGACCTATACAGCTCCTCCGTGTTCCGTCTCCTGACACAGCTGGTCGTAGCGACGGCCGATCCAGCAGTCGTCTGCGACATGGCAGTGGCCCCGGGTCATGTGCAGCTGGCCCCGAGCGGCTCAGGTCCCAGATCGAATCTCGGACCCACAGATTCTAGATTCCTTTAGATTCCCTGGATTCCCGCAACAACGATCTCTTAGCGGCGGCAAACAGAGGCGCAACTATGCCAGCAGCGAGGAGGCTCCTGCTGCTCAGCTACCGAGGCCTGGTGGCGTCGGCTGCTGCGTGGAGAAGACAGCAGCACTGTCCGACCTCAAAACATGCACAACAAGCGGGATTTTTGACTCTGTCCTCGATTCTTCAGTCGCTCTGCCGGACGCGCTCGCTTTGTCGCGAGGGTCACCGGTGCAAGCCGTGTGGACGCCCAGAATAGCCTCCCCTGGCTTAGCTAGAGTGAGAGATATTGTGCACATGGTCAAACTCTACAGTATATACACTGACACTTTACCTCCCAGAGCTTGTCTCGGTCCGCCACGGCCATCCTCAGCCTCCGGAGGGCCCCCGGCCGCGGCGCGGTGCGGCGGCGTCACAAATCCGACGTCAGTTCACCGGGACGCGATCGGGCGATCTGAAGTCCAACTAGGCGTATGGATTGTCCGCCCAGGGCTATCACCTGGACCCCTCAATGGGCGCCTGCGGTGCCGCCCCCACGAGGTGTTGTTCACACCTGTCCAACCATTCGTGCAGCAGGGACGCGCTGTGTGTGGCTGGCAGCAGCAAACTCAAATGACGACGGGTTGCAGCCTCGTAGCTCAACGGCAACATTGTGCATGAGGAAGGCTGATAGAAGTAGCACAGCCACACAACCAACAGCTTCTTGAGAGTATGCGGAGCGCAAGCAGCCGGTGATCAAAGGCGTGTTGCTGTCGGTGGCAGATTGCCAGAGGGACGCCGGCGCTTCGGTGCGTGGCTTCGGGGTGGTCGCAATTCCACCGCTCAACTTGGAGGCAGTGTGTCTAGTAGCGTGCTACAGCTATGACGGCGGACCTCACTGGGGCGCCGACGTGCGACGACCGTCTCTGGGATCGAAAGACGAAACCGCGTCCCAGGAGCTCGTGCAGAGCGCGCTCCGGAGCTCTGTGGCGGAAATTTTGAAGGGAACGTGGTGGCTTCCCACCGCCTCTGTATGTACCCAATAAAGTGCTAACACGACCCTCGGGCAGCAGGGGGTATGTGGCGAGCACACGGAGGCACAGTTAGGCCGCCGTGATATCGCCCTCCCGGGCACCCCGTTTCGGTAGCCGTTTAGGGGCTAGTCTTGGGTTACGGCGGCTCGTTCCTCCGCTCTCACGTGCGTTCACTCACTCGCCACACCACAAGCCGCGGGGGCGGGCATGGCGAGCGGGACAGTCTCATGCCGCCACAGGATCTACAATGTACCCCGCGACCTGGGTGGTCATGCCTTCTGTCTCTGTTGTCTGAGCCCGAGTCTTCGCATCTCGCCAACCA